AATCACACTGGGAGGATGTTACATATTTACTAATGAAACTAGTTTTCTGCTTTATAATAGTGATGGAAAGACATGGATACAACAGAAAGACAAGTCATGCTTAAACCCAAATACCTTAGTCTCTGGTGCTGGGTGGGCGAGCAGAGCGGCTCTGTTTGCTTTTTCGGATCAGACGAGGCTTGGTATGATCGATTAACATGGTGTTAAGAGAAACCTGCAATGTAGCACATTCTGGGATCAACCTGTGGTAAAAGTTTAATCATTCCGAGGAATCGTCGGGGCTGTAGCTGTCTCTTGTCAAGGGAAATTTCGAATACAGTCCACTTTCAATTGTAGAGGATGTAGGCCTTCTGGCATTATCATGTACCTTAGAAATTGTATAGACGTGGTGCCAAAGGTATACTTAGCAGGGTTGATACATGGTCCATACTCGTTTAATCTGCTGAAGAGGGTGCAAAGGTGTCATTGATGCGTTTCTTCATCCAGAGAGGCAATGAGAATATCGTCTAGATAACAGAAAAACGAAGTCAAGACTGATGAGCATCATATTCATGAACTGTTAAAAGGTTTCGTAGTCTGAATGTCATGAAGGGAAATTCAAACTGGCCAAAAGGAGTGATAATAGCGGTTTTAGGAATGTCAAGTTCATGTATGGGTATCTGCTGGTAAGCGTGCTATGAAGATCTTGATAGATCTACACACTATGCAGATCTATCAAGATCTTCATAGTGTGTGGAATATGGTTGCAATCAGTAAGGAATGGGATTGGATAACTATCCGGGATGGTAACACTGTTGAGTGCTCTGTAATCACCACACCGTCTCCAATCTCCTGACTTTTTCTGTCAGGTGTAGCAGACTGGCCCAGATGCTTTTTGAAGGGAGGCATAGGCCCTGTTGGAGCATAAATTCAAACTCCATGCAGGTTGCCTTTAGTTTGTCTGTCGACAGTCTCCTTGGTCTGGCGAACAATGGTGGACCCTTGGTTTCGATGAAATGTATGATGTTGTGTTCCTTGACCTTGGTGTTGGTGATTGATGGCCACACCAAGTCTGGAAACTCACTAAGGATTTTTTGGTATGTGGAGATGTCTTTCAGTACTTGGATTTGGGATGTGTCGTAAGGAAGGAATTTGGTATTCGCGTGAAGGTTCGTAACCCCGTCAATGAGCTGACAGCGACTGCTGTCGACCAGTAGATTGAAATGAGACAGGAAGTCCACACCGATGATTGGCCTCTGAACATTGGCTATGACGAATACCCATGGAAAGCTTCTTCATAATCCGAAGTCTAGGTTCAGTAACTTTCGGCCATAGGTCTTGATTGTCGATCCGTTGGTGGCAAAAAGCTCAAGCTTGTCTCTCGTGAGGTGATGGGAGTATAACGGAAATGTCCGCTCCGGTGTCCACGAGGTCCAGGGTTGCTGTNACAAGTTTTCTGCTTTATAATAGTGATGGAAAGACATGGATACAACAGAAAGACAAGTCATGCTTAAACCCAAATACCTTAGTCTCTGGTGCTGGGTGGGTGAGCAGAGCGGCTCTGTTTGCTTTTTCGGATCAGACGAGGCTTGGTATGATCGATTAACATGGTGTTAAGAGAAACCTGCAACGTAGCACATTCTGGAATCAACCTGTGGTAAAAGTTTAATCATTCCGAGGAATCGTCGGGGCTGTAGCTGTCTCTGGTCAAGGGAAATTTCGAATACAGTCCACTTTCAATTGTAGAGGATGTAGGCCTTCTGGCGTTATCATGTACCTTAGAAATTGTATAGACGTGGTGCCAAAGGCATACTTAGCAGGGTTGATACATGGTCCAAACTCGTTTAATCTGCTGAAGAGGGTGCAAAGGTGTTATTGATGCGTTTCTTCATCCAGAGAGGCAATGAGAATATCATCTAGATAACAGAAAAACGAAATCAAGACCGATGAGCATCATATTCATGAACTGTTAAAAGGTTTCGTAGTCTGAATGTCATGAAGGGAAATTCAAACTGGCCAAAGGGAGTGATAATAGCGGTTTTAGGAATGTCAAGTTCATGTATGGGTATCTGCTGGTAAGCGTGCTATGAAGATCTTGATAGATCTACACACTATGCAGATCTATCAAGATCTTCATAGTGTGTGGAATATGGTTGCAATCAGTAAGGAATGGGATTGGATAACTATCCGGGATGGTAACACTGTTGAGTGCTCTGTAATCACCACACCGTCTCCAATCTCCTGACTTTTTCATTAATAGGAAAATATATATAGAAAAATATATAAAATACTAAGACCATATTCAGATTATGCTGACATTTTGTGTTTACTGGTGTTATCGGAACTGGAAAGGTTCTCCACAGTTGCTTACGTTTGTTGGACTAGACGTTCCCAAAACTTGCCTAGAATATCTAGATTGTTCCAGAATGGAATCAACAAATAGAAAACAGCATTCATTTGTGTAAAGAAATGACATAGCAGAGATGAAACTTCAAGAATGTACTGTAGTAAAAAAGTAGTTTTTGATTATTTTTTACAATTTATTTGTGTGTCATAATTATACACGTATGTATATATATAATGAAATGTTGTAATGTATCTCTCTCTATTCTAATCTTTTTCATCCTTATTCTCTGGGACTCTGAGTAAATTATAGACTAATATAGAAATACTGGACACCACACTCTCCATTTGATCCCCTTGACATTTCATGATAAACATAACAATGATAGGCTAAAATAACCAAACCAAACAAAATATGGTTTTGACTTTTAGGCTGCAATTTGAAAAAAGTCTTATACTTATAAATTCTCACTGTAATCCGTCTGACTTTTCTCAATCTTGAGAATGGAGTTAGATAGATGAAAGCCCAGACCAGATACGGAAAGCTTAAGGCAGGAGGCCCCGATTAATTGTATACGAACTTCCGAAGCAAACCGGAAGTCACATTATTTCAATTCAAATTTATTTCTTAACACTCTTAGCATGTGCAGTGTTGTGCTTTATTGGAAATTAAGATGAAATATTCCACTAAAATCTCTAGTATTTTCAAGATTTTCAGTTCAAAAGTATTAGGGTATTATCACAGCCCATCATCAGAAATACCAAATGTCTGTAGCCTACACCTGAGCATGGGCTATTTGCCCATACTCAGATGTAGGCTACAGACATTTGGTATTTCTGAATGAGTACTAGAATTTCAGTGGTATTTTGAATTTTGACCTCCAAAAAAGTAGAAAACAATACATCTAAATATGAAAATTAATTTCATATCAAAGGTGCTAAATGAATACCTTAAATTTTCAGAATTATTGTACCTTTTAGAATTATCATCATCATCATCATCAATCTGCTTAGAAGTGTTCATTAGTTAAAAGTATCAATATATTCTTTAAAAATACTGGTAATTCATATTACAATTAATTTATGAAGAGTGAGTCTATTTGTTAATTGGATCTATCTTGTTTATAAAGGGGTTGTGATAATTATGATGCTCCACAAAAGAGAGGGAGGGATGAGAAATCACTCATTTTTGATACAGACAGCCTCTAGAAATGTGAAATAATGGATTTTATTAAGTTTATTTTTTAAATATTTAGCAAAATAAACAAAAGTTAAGTTGTCTTTTTCATATTCTTAGTAGTACTAAATGATTAAAAGTTAATAAAAGACAGCATTATAAAAAGTATGATTGCTCATTCATTTTTTGTTTACCATATTATTTCTTGGATAAAAGAAGAATTTTTTTCTATTAAATATACTTCAAATAAGTTTTCTGTGTGCTTAAAATTTATATTTATGTACATATCTTGGAATCTGTCTGCTTATAAAAGCTAATTACCCAGTATTCATTTGTCCTCATTTTGGAGTGTACTTTGGATATAAAAGTTTCATTTTTATGAAATTAATAACAAATGACAATGAGTTTTTTAAGAAAATCTATAAGAAATGCCCTATAGGACAATGATTTTACAGCAAGATCTCTCACCGTAAACATTACCCACTTAAACAGATTTGAAAACTGAACATTTGTGCTAAATCACACTGGGAGGATGTTACATATTTACTAATGAAACAAGTTTTCTGCTTTATAATAGTGATGGAAAGACATGGATACAACAGAAAGACAAGTCATGCTTAAACCCAAATACCTTAGTCTCTGGTGCTGGGTGGGTGAGCAGAGCGGCTCTGTTTGCTTTTTCGGATCAGACGAGGCNAAAGCGTTTCTAAACTATGATGCAGCGACGTGTAGCGATAGCTGCTCGTGACGTCATTTACGCTGCACTCTCGCTGCATAAAGAAACGCAGCCAATGTGTTGTAAGGAAGGAATTTGGCATTCGTATGAAGGTTCGTAACCCCATCAATGAACCGACGGCGACGTTATACATGATATAAAATTTTAAAATGTAATTACAAATAATACTTTTTTTTGACAGAACAGTAGAAAAAAGTTATAAAAATGCTTGAAAAACGGTAAAAGTACCCACTAACCAAATACATAAACCAACTTCTCGCCGTAATTACAGTCGGACCAGGCGAAAAGTCTGATGGTCGGGCCAAAAAGGGCCTACGTCTACTTTCCTCCCTAACACACCGGGTGACTTCTCTTTTATTGTTCTAGACCAGTGTTCCGCAACCTTTTTCTACTTGCGGCACACCCATGATTCAACACGGCACACCAAAATGTTATTTTCCTCAAAAACGTATGATATGATACTATTAATAGAATTACATAATGCCACTAACCTATTATTATTGTAATTAAACAGATACCAACACCTGTTAGCAAATTTTCTTTACATATAATTTATTAGAATACATAAAAATGGGTGGCTTGTAATAAAGAATAAACAAACATCATCTTATTTCATCAGTGCTGCGGCAGAGAATGAAATACATACAAATGATAACATAAGAAACACAACAACATACATACATAAGAACATATAGCATACATACATAAGAAACACAACAAGTGCAATAAAAATATATAAATAAAATTTGAAATTAACAGAATATGTAAAAGCTCACGTCACACCTTTCACCATGTGACGGCACATCAGTGTGCCGCGGCACACCGGTTGCGGAACGCTGTTCTAGACGGTTCTCGGAACAGACCCCCCCGATGTTGACAAGGGACAAGATTAAAAAGGGACAGAAAGTTCTAGGTAGAGAAAGAACGAAGAAAAGACATTAGACTTAAAATTAGGTCAAACATTACGGCGGGTAATCCCAGTTAAAACTTCTATACTTGCGAAGCACGTTTGGAAGAAGTTTCGTTAAGGTCATCGCGCATTATTTAAAAGAAAAAACCGGATAAAATGTAAATATCTTTCAAGGTCTTTATTACAAAATCGGTTTGTTTCAAATTCACCAAAGATCAGAAACAGGTCTTGAACTAGTTTCTTACAGCGGAGACAAAATAAGTCGTATGTAGAAGAACCGGTTCTGACACTAGTCTGATGACGCTCGTCTCAGTTGAAGTTTGAACGTTTCCTTTACAGCTATTCTTCTCTAGTATTAATTGGACGATATAGAACTTTGGTTAAGAATGGCAGACGTACAATTCGTAATTCGCCCAGTTAAGAATTTCACCGAAGAAGAAAAAGTCACTTTAGCGCAGTTAATGCTGTCGCATTCTTCCATAGAAGAGAAAAGCAACCATTCTCGAATTTTACACAGAAAAAGAGAAGCGTGGAAGTCTATTCACAAAGAATTTTCTTCGCAGTTTCCCGGCCGAGCGAGAACCATAGAACAATTGAAAGGTAGGTATTAATAACACAAAATAATTAACTTTTTATTTCTTGTTTCCGTTACAGCGTGTCCTCGTTTCGTGCTTACTTTCACAACCGCGTTTTAACGTTCGCGATTCTTTTAACTTCAAAAATTAGTACAGTCGACCCCTATAACACTGTTGATAATTGCGTTTTATATGAACTACATGTTGTACGAATCACTTAGATTTTACAAATACGTGAGGCGTTCACAGCGCGGCACACGTATTTGTAAAATCTAAGTGACTCGTACAACATGGAATTCATATAAAACGCAATTATCAACAGTGTTATAGGGGGTCGACTGTATATATGTATATATATATATACACATGTCAAATCGAAGACGGAAACGTACACTATATTTTCCATTGTCCGATACTTGAAAGGGAACGAAATGAAATTCAAACTATACTACACCAACAAGGCATATCTTGGCCATGTGATTTACCTAATCTTATTAATACAAAGGAGAACTTTTTCTATTTCAACAACTTAACCAAAAGATATGGCAAACTTACTACCATTAGGGCATAACTCCCAGTTATTCTGAAAGCCTAGTGCATCTATTAATTCGAATATTCTTTTAATATTTGTTAATGCAGTGCATTTTCTGCTAACTCTTATACAACTCTTGTTATGCTTTTAAATATTTATTATTAAATCACAGGAGTTGAGGTACTCGAGATTTATTATTTTAACCACTCTTAATATATTATTTAAACTTGTTAAATTCAAAATCATGGTAATTATTACTGATACTGTATGCATTATAGTTCCTTCCAATTCTTTTGGCATCCTACTACTGATTTTGTTTCAAAGTTTTGTTCCAAGGTTTTAAAGAAGGCCTTGAATTTGGTCTGTATTAGGTTCTCAATTGAATGGCTGGGGATTTGCAATACTTCCTCGTGTCCTTTTACACCCGAATATGGGTCTGTCTGGACTGGCCCTTTTTGTTAACTGTCTCATTAAACAAAAATATAGACTTTACTTACTTTCAATTAAAAGAAAACTGACACGGAAGACATGCTTAGAAGAAGTATTGATAGAGAAATGGAATTTTTCCGGACACCAATTTAAGTGCTTACTTCAATATGGTTATTAATAGTGTGCAATTGTGCAACTGAATTCGTGATATAAAAATTTAACCATCAGAACTAAGTTAGCTAGAGGATTATGTGATATGGACATCTGAATGCTTGCTATTGGTGGTTGAATAATGTTGTCAAAGCCCTTTGGACTTCATGTAAAGATGGGCTTTATAGGAACTATACTTTATAAAAATTTTAAAAATATATTGTAAAATATTGTAATAATACTGTAAAAATAATATATGTAATTGAAATTTCAATTATTTAATGTTTTTATATGTTAACTGGCTATGCAAAGCGGTGCCAGACATGTAATACTTCGGCATTACGTAAATAAAAGAGTTGTGTGTGTGTGTGTATCTACGTATTTATTTCCCACAATTTTTTACTTTCAAATCAACTTAATATTTAGTAAACATAAATAAATTGAATAAATGGCATCAATATTTATTCTCATTAATTTTTTTTTGTACCTTGAAATCTCTAGGATGCTGGAAAAGAATGAAATTAGAAGCAAAAAAGAATTTAATTAATAATCAGCAAATTATTAAATCGGCTGATGATAGTGCATCATCAGAATTGTCAAATGAACCAAGCAAGAGGATTATAGAAATTATACAAGGAAGTATCCAGTCTATACAGTATCCTAATGATCAACCTATGGTTTCTGTACCTGATTTTGAATTTCAATACAAACAAGCAAATGAAAATTGCCAGCCAAATAATACACCAGTTTATGATGTATCTATACCATCTTGTGAAGAACATTCTACAAAACAGTTTTCTCAATTTAATGTTGAATCACAATCCCTGCCTAATTATTATGCAGAACAACAAACTATCCTACCAAATATAAACAAACAGGAAAGGTTAGTAATATTTTCAGATTTTTTTAATAAAATTTATTCAGAAAATATAGTGTAGCCATCTTGAACATCACATTTGGACATTCAATTTAATGAACAGTGAATTTGATATGATTTGAAACTTTCAGGAGAGCTAATATTAAAAGGAAAATGAGAAAAGCTATCTTGGAAGAATTACTTGCTACAGAAAAACTTAAGAGAGAAAACGAAAGGCTGCGAAAATGGATACTTACAAAGGAGTGTGAGGAAAAAGGATATGGATTACCACCACCTGATTTTAATTAAAATAGTATAATGAGAAATAAATGTAATTTTTCACATTTATTACAAAGTGATTTGTTAATTGATAGATAAATAAATGACCATCTCAATATCAAAAAATAGTAATTGCAATCCATTTAATAAATGTCTTTTAATTATGATAATTTAATTTTGTCTCAATAAACCTCACCACCGACCCAGCAGAACAGAAGCAAATGATTTGTGTGATCTAGTCTGATAAATGAACTTTGAAAATTCATCTTTATCATATTTTAAACAGATTATTCATACTTCAATATTCCCACAAACAAAGAAAATTTATCAATTTTATTGATTTTTATTGTTTCTACATCTATTAAACAATATAATTTACTTGAAATGATTGATATTGAATGAATATGGTTGATGAAATAAAGATGAAAACCAGATTTTATTTTTTATTCAACATACACCAAAATTTTTATGCTATTATTAAATTAACAACAAGATTTTAATGATGAAATTTTAACTTTTACTGATTAACTAAATTATATTTTGAATTATTTTATTAATTTGATGAGAGTTCAAATAAACTTTTTCTCTAGAGTTTAATATAAAGATTATCAAATACAAACAATAGTTTTTCAGTTACATATAAATAATTTATAAATATAAACTAATATATACAAGGTCAACATTGGAGTTAGATTGACCTTTAATTGGCCATTATTTTTTTCTTTTAGAAGTAAAGCATGGCACTGGTTAAGATGGAATAAATTCAACTTTTGATGGTGGGTATGCATTCAATGAGATGGCACCAGGGTTTAACCTGGGCCAGTTGAATAGATGAGACGAGGTGACTTTCTTTAGTGGCAAAATGAGTAGTCACCTCATCTTGAAATGGAAAAAAATAAATAAATAACCAAATACAATGAAGTTTCATAAATATATACTTTAAAATGGTTTATAGTTCTAATGTTGGCACTCTTATACATGCTTTCTATTGGCAACATTCTGGAAGAAGATATAGCAAAAATCAATTTTACCTTAGGTACTGACTACTGTTATGTTTGCACAGAGATTAACAGGCAGTTAAACTGCATCCAGATCTTTATGTGTAATTGATGAGCAGTCTGTTAAACTCTTTGGCAACTTCTTGTCAGCTGTGGGTACCCATCATCATAATAACTTGATTTTATTCCACCTTACTCGGTGCCATGCTTTACCTGTGTAAAAAAATTCAACATAACTCCTATGGATCCAGACCTATAGGACACCTTATATATTGATAATAAATTTTAACTTTTAAACATCTAATATGCTATTAGAAAAGGAATCTTGTGGAATCACTATATCTTAAATTTTGTCATGCTCAGTTTTCAGTTTTCTCTCTTCTTTACAAAAATCCCTGGTCATCTATTGGCTGTATGTAGTCAATAACAGTTTCTTTGCTACTCAACAAAATTTTGAATGCAGTTTGAAAGGTTTATCCTTTGCTTAATGAGTTAGGTCTTATACCTTATACTGACTTAAACAAGATGACACAAATAATATTTGGATTCCTAAAATTCCTTGCATGTTTTAAACAAACTCAAAATTTATCTTTTTGTTCCCTCATCTTCATCTTTATACAGGATGTTCAACAATTTCCAGATTTTCCAGGATGAAAACCAGCATTTTCTCCTGACTAACTGAAAACAACTCGCTGCATAAATTAAAAACAGTTCACAATTTATTTGATGTTACCAAATGTTGATTAATCAATTCATGTATTGTTACTTCAAAATGTGCCGAAGATTGTATATCACATACAGGTTCGACATGACAATTTTACTAAAATATGGAAATTCAAATTCATACTGTTTCATACATTTACTGTCAATCATATAATGTAAACTCAATACAATTTTTCCAAATTATGTAATTTATAGCAAGTAAATATTACAAAACAATCATGGTCTCTAAATTATAGAATAAAATAAATCTTTTCTTTTTTGCAGTTTTTCCGAATGTGCAGTAATGTCCCCAATTTCATTAGCTTCTGCAATAATCATCATCTTTTTCTTCAGCTCTTTCACCATTCCTTACTCTGCTCTTTCTCTTGCCTTATTTCTTTCTGTTTACAAGCTACCATAGCTTTCTTGTATCTCTGGGTTGCAATTCAAGTTGCATGGATAAACTATTTTGATATATCCAATTTCCCAATCCACTAGCTGACATGACTACATCATGTAATTTCCTGTAAACTACAAATGTCTCTTCTTTTTGGTTTTCCATTAAGCATTTTTTGTTGATGGAAAATTCACATTCCATATGACCATGGGACATTATTAAAATCATCTTCGTTTCGACATGTTTCAAATTCTTTTCCTTCATCACATCGATGTGCAGACTAAGCCAGAAAGAATCAAACCTGTAATGCATCTGGAGTAGTGTTTAACCATAATCACTAATTCCTGGGGATGACAAAATATCTTTGTATTGCTTAGCAGAATCACCTGTAGAATCATTTATTTAGCTATTAGCCGTAAGAGTTTCTAATGTAATATCTAACAGTTTTTCTTCTTTCTCTCTATTCCTTGCATAAGCTGGATTTAGGCATGACAGTCTCTTAGTATCTTTGGTGGCATATTCAAAATCTACTATATGTACTGTATAGAGATGCACATCAGTAACGGAACTCACAGAATGTTTTAATTTACCATCTGAAATCTACAATAACAGGATCAGAACAGACTTTTATTAAGGTAATAGTTAAAAAAGTAACAGTTGTCAAGAAATTACTGACCAAGAAGTGACCATTAATTCCTATTGCTAATAAAAAAGGAAGCATAGGTATGCATTTGCCAAAAAACATCTCACATATCTGCATTAAATGAAGTTTATTTAGCCAGATATTACATATAATTATATTATATAAAAATAAAATTTATGTTTATTGTCTTGTAACTGTAAATTAAAATTTATAGCATATAAAACTTGTTAATTTAAATAGATTTCACTATTAAAATCAGTGAAATTTCAATAGAGGGATGACACTCAAATGAAGTAAAATCAACTAACTATTGTTAAATCTGTTCAAATTACACTTAACAGGTTTAACATTCTATAACACTGGAAATGATACTAATGCCACTTAACATGTTTTACTTCCAAGTTCCTTACTTACTTTGAATCTAATGCACACTTCATTTCTCAGCTTCTCAAAAAGTTGAAAAGGGTGCATATTAAAGTAGAATGATTACTGTACAGTAACATCTTTCCAAAAAATACACTTAATTAATGACATTTTGGAAAAATAACAAATGAAAAAAAATTGACTTTTAGTTAAAACAGTGGTCAGTTCCAAACCCTGCAATCATAAATTGCAAGCATTGCTGAAGTATAGATGGATTCTACATACCATTTACTCAGTAAGAGCTTTGAAACTGTTGTGATCAGACTTCCTCTACAACCTCATATCGCAAGGAAACTGACTTTAACTAGGGTCACCAACTGCTTTTCAGTGAATTCCACAAGGTAACAGTTAAAAATAAGCTATTTACAATTGAAAAAAAGCTACATTTTTTTTTTCTTATAACAATTTAAAGCTACATAATTCAAATTTTGTATTTTCTTAAAACATTGGAGTAAATATTAGTAATTATTATACTTAAATTTAATTAGCATGCATGATGTAATCTTAAATCATCATTCATATTATGTGACACAACAATGCACATTCAATCATTTCTATTGTTTCCTTTCCATTATACAATGCATTATATGCTCTGTAATAATAATTTTTTTTTTTTCTTTTTTCGGGTTTAATACCAAATTCTCCAAGATTTCCATGATTTTTCCCTTATTAATTCCCCAACATTTCCAGGTTTTCAGGGTCTATTGGACACCCTGTTATATATAGTACATGATCAATCTTTTAAAATACTGTTATAGCAACTTAGGATATGGAATTGTTTTTAAATCTAGGTGTAAAAAAAATTACTTTATAATTTACCATTATAATTCCTTTATTATTTATACACTTTTTGTATATATCTTATAATTTTTAAAGCTTTTGTTCTTTCTGTTTTTATATTATACAGTTACAAAACATACAAAATAAGAAATGATAAACAATTTTTATATATTGTTTAGAAATAAGATAGAAATCGGTCTTGAATTAGTTTCTTAGATCCCGCGATTCACGAAAGTGTCGTTAATTACAACGTCGTATTTTTGCGACGTCGTTAATTACAACAAATTTACGAAACATCTCGTCGTAATCCCGATTTACGACAAAATATCAATGGTCTGATTTCGAGAGTATACTTTTTCGTCTAATAGGAATATTCCGGAAGTTCTAAATGGCGCACGTTATCTCCGACGCGAGTTCCGGAGACAAAATGGAAGAAAGAAAAAGAAGGCGTAATTTTAGTTCTTTCGAGATACAGGCGCTGATAGATGGAGTAGAAAAAAGAAAAAAAATAATAGAAGGGAGGATAGATGAAACTATTACTTCTCGTGCAAAATATAATTGTTGGAGATTAATTTGTGAAGAAGTGAATAGTGTTAGTGATGTACGTAGAAGCGTAGAGGAAATTCGACGTAAATGGAGAGATTACAAAAGCATCTCAAAGAGAAAAGGTTAGTAAAATTTCTATAAACTGTGTAATTCGCCGATTAAGAGAGCTAAAAACACTCGTCGGCCATCTTGAATTGTCTTGACTTACGATAACCCAATCTATATCGTAATTTAACGACGCCTATTTACGACATTTCGGTTACGACAAGTTTCAAAATTTTGTCGTATCGCAACTTACGACGAATGTTCGTCGTTCGTAGTAAATTGCGATACGATAAAATTTTGTACGCACAAAACTTGCCGTAACCGAAATGTCGTAAATAGGCGTCGTTAAATTACGATATAGATTGGGTTATCGTAAGTCAAGACAATTCAAGATGGCCGACGAGTGTTTTTAGCTCTCTTAATCGGCGAATTACACAGTTTATAGAAATTTTACTAACCTTTTCTCTTTGAGATGCTTTTGTAATCTCTCCATTTACGTCGAATTTCCTCTACGCTTCTACGTACATCACTAACACTATTCACTTCTTCACAAATTAATCTCCAACAATTATATTTTGCACGAGAAGTAATAGTTTCATCTATCCTCCCTTCTATTATTTTTTTTCTTTTTTCTACTCCATCTATCAGCGCCTGTATCTCGAAAGAACTAAAATTACGCCTTCTTTTTCTTTCTTCCATTTTGTCTCCGGAACTCGCGTCGGAGATAACGTGCGCCATTTAGAACTTCCGGAATATTCCTATTAGACGAAAAAGTATACTCTCGAAATCAGACCATTGATATTTTGTCGTAAATCGGGATTACGACGAGATGTTTCGTAAATTTGTTGTAATTAACGACGTTGTAATTAACGACACTTTCGTGAATCGCGGGATCTAAGAAACTAATTCAAGACCGATTTCTATCTTATTTCTAAACAATATATAAAAATTGTTTATCATTTCTTATTTTGTATGTTTTGTAACTGTATAATATAAAAACAGAAAGAACAAAAGCTTTAAAAATTATAAGATATATACAAAAAGTGTATAAATAATAAAGGAATTATAATGGTAAATTATAAAGTAATTTTTTTTACACCTAGATTTAAAAACAATTCCATATCCTAAGTTGCTATAACAGTATTTTAAAAGATTGATCATGTACTATATATAACAGGGTGTCCAATAGACCCTGAAAACCTGGAAATGTTGGGGAATTAATAAGGGAAAAATCATGGAAATCTTGGAGAATTTGGTATTAAACCCGAAAAAAGAAAAAAAAAAAATTATTATTACAGAGCATATAATGCATTGTATAATGGAAAGGAAACAATAGAAATGATTGAATGTGCATTGTTGTGTCACATAATATGAATGATGATTTAAGATTACATCATGCATGCTAATTAAATTTAAGTATAATAATTACTAATATTTACTCCAATGTTTTAAGAAAATACAAAATTTGAATTATGTAGCTTTAAATTGTTATAAGAAAAAAAAAATGTAGCTTTTTTTCAATTGTAAATAGCTTATTTTTAACTGTTACCTTGTGGAATTCACTGAAAAGCAGTTGGTGACCCTAGTTAAAGTCAGTTTCCTTGCGATATGAGGTTGTAGAGGAAGTCTGATCACAACAGTTTCAAAGCTCTTACTGAGTAAATGGTATGTAGAATCCATCTATACTTCAGCAATGCTTGCAATTTATGATTGCAGGGTTTGGAACTGACCACTGTTTTAACTAAAAGTCAATTTTTTTTCATTTGTTATTTTTCCAAAATGTCATTAATTAAGTGTATTTTTTGGAAAGATGTTACTGTACAGTAATCATTCTACTTTAATATGCACCCTTTTCAACTTTTTGAGAAGCTGAGAAATGAAGTGTGCATTAGATTCAAAGTAAGTAAGGAACTTGGAAGTAAAACATGTTAAGTGGCATTAGTATCATTTCCAGTGTTATAGAATGTTAAACCTGTTAAGTGTAATTTGAACAGATTTAACAATAGTTAGTTGATTTTACTTCATTTGAGTGTCATCCCTCTATTGAAATTTCACTGATTTTAATAGTGAAATCTATTTAAATTAACAAGTTTTATATGCTATAAATTTTAATTTACAGTTACAAGACAATAAACATAAATTTTATTTTTATATAATATAATTATATGTAATATCTGGCTAAATAAACTTCATTTAATGCAGATATGTGAGATGTTTTTTGGCAAATGCATACCTATGCTTCCTTTTTTATTAGCAATAGGAATTAATGGTCACTTCTTGGTCAGTAATTTCTTGACAACTGTTACTTTTTTAACTATTACCTTAATAAAAGTCTGTTCTGATCCTGTTATTGTAGATTTCAGATGGTAAATTAAAACATTCTGTGAGTTCCGTTACTGATGTGCATCTCTATACAGTACATATAGTAGATTTTGAATATGCCACCAAAGATACTAAGAGACTGTCATGCCTAAATCCAGCTTATGCAAGGAATAGAGAGAAAGAAGAAAAACTGTTAGATATTACATTAGAAACTCTTACGGCTAATAGCTAAATAAATGATTCTACAGGTGATTCTGCTAAGCAATACAAAGATATTTTGTCATCCCCAGGAATTAGTGATTATGGTTAAACACTACTCCAGATGCATTACAGGTTTGATTCTTTCTGGCTTAGTCTGCACATCGATGTGATGAAGGAAAAGAATTTGAAACATGTCGAAACGAAGATGATTTTAATAATGTCCCATGGTCATATGGAATGTGAATTTTCCATCAACAAAAAATGCTTAATGGAAAACCAAAAAGAAGAGACATTTGTAGCTTACAGGAAATTACATGATGTAGTCATGTCAGCTAGTGGATTGGGAAATTGGATATATCAAAATAGTTTATCCATGCAACTTGAATTGCAACCCAGAGATACAAGAAAGCTATGGTAGCTTGTAAACAGAAAGAAATAAGGCAAGAGAAAGAGCAGAGTAAGGAATGGTGAAAGAGCTGAAGAAAAAGATGATGATTATTGCAGAAGCTAATGAAATTGGGGACATTACTGCACATTCGGAAAAACTGCAAAAAAGAAAAGATTTATTTTATTCTATAATTTAGAGACCATGATTGTTTTGTAATATTTACTTGCTATAAATTACATAATTTGGAAAAATTGTATTGAGTTTACATTATATGATTGACAGTAAATGTATGAAACAGTATGAATTTGAATTTCCATATTTTAGTAAAATTGTCATGTCGAACCTGTATGTGATATACAATCTTCGGCACATTTTGAAGTAACAATACATGAATTGATTAATCAACATTTGGTAACATCAAATAAATTGTGAACTGTTTTTAATTTATGCAGCGAGTTGTTTTCAGTTAGTCAGGAGAAAATGCTGGTTTTCATCCTGGAAAATCTGGAAATTGTTGAACATCCTGTATAAAGATGAAGATGAGGGAACAAAAAGATAAATTTTGAGTTTGTTTAAAACATGCAAGGAATTTTAGGAATCCGAATATTATTTGTGTCATCTTGTTTAAGTCAGTATAAGGTATAAGACCTAACTCATTAAGCAAAGGATAAACCTTTCAAACTGCATTCAAAATTTTGTTGAGTAGCAAAGAAACTGTTATTGACTACATACAGCCAATAGATGACCAGGGATTTTTGTAAAGAAGAGAGAAAACTGAAAACTGAGCATGACAAAATTTAAGATATAGTGATTCCACAAGATTCCTTTTCTAATAGCATATTAGATGTTTAAAAGTTAAAATTTATTATCAATATATAAGGTGTCCTATAGGTCTGGATCCATAGGAGTTATGTTGAATTTTTTTACACAGGTAAAGCATGGCACCGAGTAAGGTGGAATAAAATCAAGTTATTATGATGATGGGTACCCACAGCTGACAAGAAGTTGCCAAAGAGTTTAACAGACTGCTCATCAATTACACATAAAGATCTGGATGCAGTTTAACTGCCTGTTAATCTCTGTGCAAACATAACAGTAGTCAGTACCTAAGGTAAAATTGATTTTTGCTATATCTTCTTCCAGAATGTTGCCAATAGAAAGCATGTATAAGAGTGCCAACATTAGAACTATAAACCATTTTAAAGTATATATTTATGAAACTTCATTGTATTTGGTTATTTATTTATTTTTTTCCATTTCAAGATGAGGTGACTACTCATTTTGCCACTAAAGAAAGTCACCTCGTCTCATCTATTCAACTGGCCCAGGTTAAACCCTGGTGCCATCTCATTGAATGCATACCCACCATCAAAAGTTGAATTTATTCCATCTTAACCAGTGCCATGCTTTACTTCTAAAAGAAAAAAATAATGGCCAATTAAAGGTCAATCTAACTCCAATGTTGACCTTGTATATATTAGTTTATATTTATAAATTATTTATATGTAACTGAAAAACTATTGTTTGTAATCTTTATATTAAACTCTAGAGAAAAAGTTTATTTGAACTCTCATCAAATTAATAAAATAATTTAAAATATAATTTAGTTAATCAGTAAAAGTTAAAATTTCATCATTAAAATCTTGTTGTTAATTTAATAATAGCATAAAAATTTTGGTGTATGTTGAATAAAAAATAAAATCTGGTTTTCATCTTTATTTCATCAACCATATTCATTCAATATCAATCATTTCAAGTAAATTATATTGTTTAATAGATGTAGAAACAATAAAAATCAATAAAATTGATAAATTTTCTTTGTTTGTGGGAATATTGAAGTATGAATAATCTGTTTAAAATATGATAAAGATGAATTTTCAAAGTTCATTTATCAGACTAGATCACACAAATCATTTGCTTCTGTTCTGCTGGGTCGGTGGTGAGGTTTATTGAGACAAAATTAAATTATCATAATTAAAAGACATTTATTAAATGGATTGCAATTACTATTTTTTGATATTGAGATGGTCATTTATTTATCTATCAATTAACAAATCGCTTTGTAATAAAAGTGAAAAATTACATTTATTTCTCATTATACTATTTTATTACAATTACATTTTTAATTAAAATCAGGTGGTGGTAATCCATATCCTTTTTCCTCACACTCATTTGTAAGTANCACTTAAAAATAAAAAGTATAAAACATGTCTCTTATATTCATCTGTTACTTCCATTTTAACGAAAATAAACAACTGAAATGTTCCCAATTCTGAACAGTATTATATGAATGACATCCAATTTAACACTTCAGTGTGAAAAGTATCACATTAGACTGGCATTTTTAACAGCAAAACAAGATTTTTCTCAAGATCATAAAATACTCACAAACTTATGGACTGACCTGATATAACAAACTATCTCAAAATATTACCAGCCCGATTTTTTGTTATAAAAATTAATTTTGAATGATGCTACAATTCAATTTTGACTTTAAATGACTTAAATATTTTACAAGACATTTATATTTTTCTATATACAAATGAATTTAAAAAGAAAATACTAGTAATATATGGTGCATTTATTTAGCATATCATCTTCAGTTAATTTAAATGAGATCACAGGATGACAGATGCACTAATCTTAGTGTGTCTAGCAATCTCTACAACCGATCATTGTCATTCTGCTGACACAAAGATGCAACACGATATCTTCAGATGGTTGCCACCTAAGTAAAGTATTAAACACATTCTTAAGTGGGTTCCTGTAGCATGCATAATAGAAATTGCCTAATAAAATTTCAGATGAAAGCTTGTGGTTGATAATCTGCATGAGGTTGATAATCAATATGAAAATTTTTCCAACTTATATTACATTTGATCATCGTGTGGTATATAATGGTGAATTATTTAATCATTTAATGTTTTGATCAATATTAAGCTTTTGTTAGGTGCTAACAAAGCTTAAAGAGCTTTTTCCTTAGTTTCTATATATTTAAAAAGTCCAAAATTATTAAGTTGGTTCAAATAAACAATCATAAATTGTTTCTAATTATTCAAAAGTTAAGAAAACAGGAAACATTTTTTGACATTGTCTAATGTTCTTCATTATTTAGGTGAAAAATATTCGAAATAGAGATTTAATTTTTGCTGTTGAATTACTTATACTATTATCACTATGATGCCTCTTATCTTTTGCATCAATGGTTCCCAAAGTAGGCAGTGAGTGAACTAGAGGGCAGCTGGAGGTGACCACTTTTCCTTTTTCTTTTTTAAAAGGGGTAAGAAGAAACATTGCATTTAATGGTTTCCAGATGTGAGAATAATGAACTGTATGATAAGGACATAAGAGTGAGTTTCATAGAAAAGTTTTTCTAAGAATATTTCCAAGCCTTTCTCACACAACAGAAAATGGGTTAAAGGCATTGGGTATAACTTTATGGAACCAAGGGAGCAGTGGCTTAAAAAAAGTTTGGGAATCACTGTCTTACATGATATTTAAAATATCAATACACTATAGTAGGCTTTATTGTGCTCAAAATTTAAAATTTTGTTGTGATGATTTTAATTTAATGATCATCATCTGGTTTACAAGCCAGCTTTTTTACCATAATTTAGAACCTCCTGAACTTCATTTTATAATGACCTTAATGACCTATTTTTTCAATTTTAAACAACACATTCCTTTTCCTACCACAAATAATTCTTTTCTACTGTATCAATTGAACTAATGTCTATGTTTGCTCCATGGAGTAGACATTAAATTCTCTTATACACAGTATGTATTCTATGGTTAATCGGAAATTAATTCTAATTACTTTTTCCTGATTGGTAGCTGGACTTTAGGCCATAACATTGTCAACTTTACAACATTTTTTATTACACAGTGTGGAAGCTTTTACCATATAAAATGATTGAATGAACTGTTTTGAACAAGACATCTATCTATAAATAAACTTGAAACTTTAATGCAGAAACAATGGAATTCATGGAAATTCATCTACAATCCCAATACTTATACTTACACCATGTAATTTGCAAAAATATTTTATGCAGAATGTGAAATCTCTAACAATTATTTCCATTGTAAATAAGTTTGTTTTAGATCCTAGGATTTTCTGGGGATTTATCTCTAAATTTTCAAAACTTAATAAGTATCACATTTTTCCTGACAACTTACATTTAGTAATAATATTGCTAATGGCATCTCCAGAGGCGGACTAAGGCTAAAGCGGGCCCTAGGCAACATTGTAATTCCGAGCCTATTTTTAAAATTAAAAAATTAAAAACCTAATTTTTGGGGCCCCAAAAATTACGGGCCCTAGGCACGTGCCTAGGTTGCCTAGGCCTTAGTCCGCCCCTGGGCATCTCTTACTTCTTTCAATATTTGCCAAGCAATTTTGAAACTTTCACACTCACATAATAGTCCTGATTTTATTCCATCTATGTTTTTACCTTGTATATTTTCCACAGTGCTTCAGGAATGACTTATTCTAGAACACTGCCATACCTCTTTTGTTATTGTATCTATCTTATATATAAATATATATATATATATTGTTTTATTTTATTTTATATAATTTGTTTTAAATACAAAAGAATATTCATTATTAATGTTTTGTTTGCATCATAATAAATTTTAACAGAAATAAACAAAGAGAAAAAAATATTTATTATGCTGTACAATATGATTTATGTTTTTACAATTTAGATCAAAAATTTATTTCTTCTTTCTCATTTTACCTTTGAAGTTAGTCTTTCTGGAATTTATTTCATTCGCTTTCTTTTTGCTGTATCTGTAAATTAAAATATCAATTAAATACATTTAAATGAATCAATTACAGTTAATAAAAACTTCAGAAATCTTTAAACTATGGATAAATTGTTATATTATAATTTAAACTTTTGTCTAATTCCAATCCAAAAATTGCATAACAATTTTATGAATTTATATATTTAGTTCATATAAATTTTAAAAGTAATTAACATGTTTTTGCAGAGACATAGCCTTAAAAGGTCTCTAAGTGAACTTTTATGTAATTTGAATCATCAATGGTAACTGTGAAATGATGGATTATGAAGCCAAAAATGTTTGTTTTGTATTCTTCAATATTTTTTCTATGTAAATTACCATTGCCCATTTTTTTAATGATTTATTTATCATATAAAAGAATTAACATGTTATATAGGTGATATACCAATTCTCATTTATATTATTCACTAACACTCGTCACGTGCCTTTCAACTCTCATTAACCCAACTGTAGAATATTAATTTTTGGATGCATTAATTTGTATATTCTATGCCATAATAATTTAAACTATTAAATTTTAAATCTTGCAAGTTGAGGATGGTTGGATGGTCAAATGGCCAAGCAGATAAGGGGCAGCCTACTGCTTGGGGGGCAAAAAATTCAATATAAGCTTTTAGTCTGTTAATCTATTAAATAGTAATAAATAACCATATGAGCCTGCTGGCCTTGTTATAATTATCAGACTTATCACACACCTTCTTTAATTAATGTTTAATATCCTAGAATGTATTTCAGCTATGTTAATAGCCCTCTTCAGCTGGGTTACATATATACATATTGATTTCTTAGAAGTAAATATAAATTTTCTCACAACACTTTTCAACCTGTATGTATGTAGTGAGATACCGATACATGCTGTGAAGTTTGGAATATTAGAAAGAAAAACATTGTACTGAGAAAACATTAAGCAGAGATTGCCCACATAAACACACACATTAATTATCACACTTACTGTCTAAATTCTTCATCTGCAAGCAGCTCTTCAACAATAGTTCGCTTTCTTTGTTTCTTTGGTATACGTGAATGATAATAATCTGCTGATGTTTCTACTATTGTTCCAATCTAAAATGAAATATACAGTAGCTTAATAATACATAAATCAAATAATCAACAAGAGTTACACGAATTTATTGAAATTACCTGGAAGTATTTTGGAAATGTTTTCATATCATTCTTTTTATAAAATGACTTTCTGTCCCATGTACGTCTCATTTGTAATGCAGTCAGATCATTTTTAATTTCATCTGTCATTTCTGGTGCTGACATGTGATACCACCCGGGTCCAGCAGTTCTTTCCTGCTCTTTCTAAGTAATAAAGCAAAAGAACTATGAATTGACTTACTAAAACATAGATTACTGTACTTTATGGCATAGAAGATGAATCTTTTGTCCAAAAAATTGCCTTGCATCTTATGTGTGAAGTTGCAATCTACTGTAGACAAATAAATTCTCTAACAGCCTTTAGTAGACTACAGTTAACCAGTACCTAGTCCAATTTTATAATATAATCAAGATGGGTTGATAATGATAATAAGTGCAGAGCCCAAACAGTTAGGAGTTAAAAGTTGAAATTTGGTACACAGTTAGGTACATCGTGAGAACATACATTAAGAAAGGATTTTTCAAAATTCCCCCATGGAGGAGAGGGACAGATTAAGGCTTACTGTGAAGAACTTGGCTTCTATTATACTATTTTAAATGCAGTTTTTTGCATTTTAATAGGGTATGACATGAGAATGCACATTAAGAAGGGATTTTTCGAAATCCCCCATGGAGAGAGAGAGAGAGGGGGGTTAAGAATTACCCCAAATAACTCGGCTTCTACTGTACTATTCAGATGCCTTTTTGTTAGACTAGATGTTGCTTGTCGATGAGATTAGTAAAAACAAGTTAGATTTGCGTAACTGGTTATATAACAAAGAATACACACAATACACAGTCTTGACTCACAGAAGGTCAGCTCTGGAAAGGGGCGAGTGAAACGAGGTCACCCAGGTCACCCACCGTCTCTAACAACTCCCCGAGGGGTCAACAGCACCACCAACCTTTTATTACATAACGAAAGAACGATTAAAAAACATCGCGACACAATGCGTTGTGCGTGTACAGTATGTAACAATATCGTATAACATTAGACAATAATTTTGATCGTTGATTCCAACACTTTTTTGCATTTATGTGTGAAATTGAACATATTTTTAGACCCTTCTATACTAATCTTTGCTATCGTTACTTTTTGCCCAAGCAATGCCGGGTTCATCTGCTAGTGCTTGAATAAAAATATTAATGTGATAGCTAAGTAGCTTTTGCATGTATTCGTATAGAATATTTTAATTGTAAATAGCTTCTTTTAAACTTTTCCCTGAAAAAAATTAAATGTAATTTTATTTGTTTTATCTAGAATACAGTAAAAATTTTGGGGTTGAGTTGAGTGACAAAAGGTGTGGAACTGCCTAAATACAGTAAATACTTTTCTCTTTATTCTATATTGAAATGGGGTATGTTTTATGTAGTGTACCATACCATTGATACAAACAGTGCAATGCTCTTATATGTGAAGCAGGACACTTGTTTCAGAAATGAGAAATAAGTAAATTTTCACTTATAAGAGCATGCTTTTATCTGCACAGAAATACAGTATGCAAATGCAATGATAGAAAATTTATTTCAAATTATTATTAACTGAAAAACTATTTAATAATTCAATGTATAGTATAATATTATGTAATATAACTGACATCCTAAAATGTAAATCCAATTCAACCTGCCTTTTTCAGAGCAAAAACTTTTTAAAAAATTCTTCTAATTTCAGATTATATTTGTATCATCAGAAGTCAATTCTAAAAACAGGTAATGATCCAACATTTTTTCTTACAGAATTTGTCTCTCTTTTGCTTTCTGATAATAGAGGCATAGCTTAAAGTGCTAGGGTTTTCTAAACAAGTTTTCACTCTGAGTGAGACTGTCAACTACCAATGTATAGTTTATGTTAAATGACAATAGCCAAATGGCATCTAGACATTGGCTTGCTGCACAACAGTTTAAAATGCACTGCAAAGATGATAATCATCCTTTTTATTAATGTGACCGAAGGGTCGGCACCTCTTTGGTGCCCTGTCAGGATGACACCACCGCGTCTCGGCGGACACGGAAGCCGCGTTATTTAGGTCACGCGAGCGGTCGCGTAACGGAGCGATCAGAGTCGAGATAGAAGGAGAGACAACGCACCGGAAGGGATGTACTCAGACGCTTTTTTTTCGTAACAACTGTTTAATGGTTAACGATAGGATATACATTAGTGCTGCTGTTTAGGTACATTAGGGCTGCTATGAGATACCTTGCTCGCTTTAGTATATAATAATATTAAGATATTACGTTTCTTCCCGTTTTGAGAGAGAGTTTACAGAAGTTCGCGTGTCGATATTTACCTTGTATGAAATCCCAAAAGAAGACAGTTCCGGACTCAGAATACAGAAGACACAGTTCTTAGGCGTAGAATTATCCAAAGGCGAAGNAGCTACAAACACTCGTCGGCCATCTTGAATTGTCTTGACTTACGATAACCCAATCTATATCGTAATTTAACGACGCCTATTTACGACATTTCGGTTACGACAAGTTTCAAAATTTTGTCGTATCGCAACTTACGACGAATGTTCGTCGTTCGTAGTAAATTGCGATACGATAAAATTTTGTACGCACAAAACTTGCCGTAACCGAAATGTCGTAAATAGGCGTCGTTAAATTACGATATAGATTGGGTTATCGTAAGTCAAGACAATTCAAGATGGCCGACGAATGTTTTTAGCTCTCTTATAACATCATCTGCATTAACTGTAAAACTGAAGAACAAAAGAAATTTACTTAACTACTTTTTTAAAATAGGAATAAACTTAATATTTAGAAATCATATATAAATTGAATAAATGACATCAATATTTATTCTCATTAATTTTTTCTTTGTACCTTGAAATCTCTAGGATGCTGGAAAAGAATGAAATTAGAAGCAAAAAAGAATTTAATTAATAATCATCAAATTATTAAATCGGCCGATGATAGTGCATCATCAGAATTGTCAAATGAACCAAGCAAGAGTATTATAGAAATTGTAGAAGGAAGTATTCAGTCTGTACAGAATCCTAATAATCAACCTACGGTTTCTATACCTGATTTTGAATTTCAATACAAACAAGCAAATGAAAATTGCCAGCCAAATAATACACCAGTAACTGTAAAATCTTATGAAGAACCTTGTAAGAAACCATTTTCCAGAGTTAATGTTCTATCACAATCCCTACCTAAGAATTGCTTGGGACAACAAACTACAGAACAAAATATAAACAACCTGGAAAGGTTAGTAATATTTTCAGTTTTTTAAATAAAATTTATTTAGAAAATATAGTGCAACCACAACATTCTATGCATGTGCATAAAAAATTTGTATGTTTAGTTTTAGTTATAAAATATCTGGACATTAAATTCGACGGACAATGAATTTAATATGGTCAGACCAACTTATGTGACAGGAACCATTAAAAGGGACACCCAAATATGTTTTCCCTATGCCCCTAGAAAACTTAGGGGCTTCATTTAGTTTCCACCTCTACAAAATAATTATTAGTAACAGAAAAGAAAATCTTTAAGACTGCTTTTCTTTAAGAAACATTATATGCATTTCATTTGGTCCAAAAGAATGGGTAAATGAGTCCATTCTAGCCTGAGCCTTATAAAAGCTCTCAATGGCCCTGTATATGATGACATATGCCATTACAGATATAACAACTTGCTTTGGGACATTGTACAAAAGATAATTTCTCAACTCCTCCTGATAATGTTTGAAAACATTACTTTTGTTTGCTATCAGGTCTTGTTTTAACAACTTCCAACTATCAACATTGAAGTCGTCTAGAAGAATTTGGGAAAAATTAAAATTTATGCAGAGAACGAAGAAAACTTTTGCCATATGTAAAGACTCTGACCATTGTAATTAATTAATTAATATGAAAATATGTACCAAAATACCTAAGTGAAAATTTTGTAATGTTTTTAAAAAAAAAATTTTATTTGCAATATAAAGCTGAAGGATACTACTACATTTTCAATTTAATAAGTAACTCCTCAACTTAGCAATTTTCTATAAATTAAATATAAAATTGCTATTTGTATAATGAATAACTATACATTTGCTGTTGTGTAAATTATTAATAAATCTTTGAGTTGAAATATTTATTTTCAGGAGAGCTAATATTAAAAGGAAAATGAGAAAAGCTATCTTGGAAGAATTACTTGCTACAGAAAAACTTAAGAGAGAAAACGAAAGGCTGCGAAAATGGATACTTACAAAGGAGTGTGAGGAAAAAGGATATGGATTACCACCACCTGATTTTAATTAAAATAGTATAATGAGAAATAAATGTAATTTTTCACATTTATTACAAAGTGATTTGTTAATTGATAGATAAATAAGTGACCATCTCAATATCAAGAAATAGTAATTGCAATCCATTTAATAAATGTCTAACATTTATATCTTGTAATTATTATGATTTAATTTTGTCTGAATAAACCTCACCATCAACCCAGCAGAACAGAAGCAAATGATTTGTGTGATCTAGTCTGATAAATGAACTTTGAAAATTCATCTTTATCATGTTTTAAACAGATTATTCATACTTCGATATTCCCACAAACAAAGAAAATTTATCAATTTTATTGATTTTTATTGTTTATACATCTATTAAACAATATAATTTACCTGAAATGATTGATATTGAATGAATATGGTTGATGAATTATAGATGAAAACCAAATTTTATTTTTTACTGATTAACTAAATTATATTTTGAATTATTTTATTAATTTGATGAGAGTCCAAATAAACTTTTTCTCTAGAGTTTAATATAAAGATTATCAAATACAAACAATAGTTTTTCAGTTACATATAAATAATTTATAAATATAAAATAATATATACAAGGTCAACATTGGAGTTAGATTGACCTTTAATTGGCCATTATTTTTTCTTTTATAAGTAAAACATGGCACTGGGTAAGATGGAATAAATTCAACTTTTGATGGTGGGTATGCAGTCAATGAGACGGCACCAAAGAGTTTACCCTGGGGTCAGCTGAATAGTTGAGATGATGTGACTTTCTCAAGTGGCAAAATGGAGCAGTCACATCTTCAAATGGAAAAAAATAATAATAAACCAAATACAATGAAGTTTCATAAATATACTTTAAAATGGTTTATAGTTCTAATGTTGGCACTCTTATACATGCTTTCTATTGGCAACATTCTGGAAGATATAGCAAAAATCAATTTTGTCTCAAGTTACTATTGAGTTGGTAATGAGTAACTGGCTGCGTCCAGACGACTATGTGATTAACGGGCAATCAGGATGCATTCTGTTAAACTCTTCGGCAAGTTCTTGCTGACTGTGAGTCTGCATCATCAAAATAACTTGAATTTATTCCACCTTGGTTAATGCCATGCTTTACCTGTGTAAATAGTTTAAAGAAAGATCAATATAACTCCTATGGATCCAGACTTATGGGACACCCTGTATATTGATGATAAATTTAAAAATTGATGTGTATAGATAATATACTATTAAACATTAAAATACGAAGATGCTATATTATCAGGTCAGTCCATAAGTTCGTGTGCATTTTTATCTACAAAAAAAGCAACAAAAAATTTTAATAAAATTTTATTTCAATCTATAATGTATTCACCATTATTTTATACAATTTCTTGCCATCTTGATGGTAGCTTTTTAATCCCGTCTTTGTAAAATGATTTCGGTTTTGAATCAAAATATTCAGAAATAGCCTTTTTTACATTGTTCTCATCCTCAAAAGTTTTTCCTTTTAAAAAATTCTGCAAACTCTGAAAAAGATGATAATCACTGGGAGCAATATCTGGCAAATATGGTGGATGAGGTAAAATTTCCCAGTTGAAGCTTTTGAGTTGAGCAGTTGACGTTATTGTCAGTTAGCTATTGACAGTTCATGTGGTATCCATTTTCTTAGCTTTGAAACTTTTCCGATTTGTTGTAGATGTCTATGAACAGTTCCATGGGATAAATTTAAACGTTCCGCAATTTCATCAACTGTTAAAGATGGTTCTGCTTCAACTAGTGCAGAGAGAGCATCATCATCAAAGTCAACAGGTCTTCCAGTATGAGCCTTATCCTCCACACTAAAATCATTACTTCTAAATCTTTCAAACCACTTCTGCGCAGTCCTTACACTAATTACAGTTTGATTATGAACAGTATTTCATTTTTTGGCTGCATTTGTGGCATTCTCATCACTTAAAAATAAAAAGTATGAAACATGTTTCTTATATTCATCTGTTACTTCCATTTTAACGAAAATAAGCAACTGAAATGTTCCCAATTCTGAACAGTATTATATGAATGACATCCAATTTAACACTTCAGTGTGAAAAGTATCACATTAGACTGGCATTTTTAACAGCAAAACAAGATTTTTCTCAAGATCATAAAATACTCACAAACTTATGGACTGACCTGATATAACAAACTATCTCAAAATATTACCAGCCCGATTTTTTGTTATAAAAATTAATTTTGAATGATGCTACAATTCAATTTTGACTTTAAATGACTTAAATATTTTACAAGACATTTATATTTTTCTATATACAAATGAATTTAAAAAGAAAATACTAGTAATATATGGTGCATTTATTTAGCATATCATCTTCAGTTAATTTAAATGAGATCACAGGATGACAGATGCACTAATCTTAGTGTGTCTAGCAATCTCTACAACCGATCATTGTCATTCTGCTGACACAAAGATGCAACACGATATCTTCAGATGGTTGCCACCTAAGTAAAGTATTAAACACATTCTTAAGTGGGTTCCTGTAGCATGCATAATAGAAATTGCCTAATAAAATTTCAGATGAAAGCTTGTGGTTGATAATCTGCATGAGGTTGATAATCAATATGAAAATTTTTCCAACTTATATTACATTTGATCATCGTGTGGTATATAATGGTGAATTATTTAATCATTTAATGTTTTGATCAATATTAAGCTTTTGTTAGGTGCTAACAAAGCTTAAAGAGCTTTTTCCTTAGTTTCTATATATTTAAAAAGTCCAAAATTATTAAGTTGGTTCAAATAAACAATCATAAATTGTTTCTAATTATTCAAAAGTTAAGAAAACAGGAAACATTTTTTGACATTGTCTAATGTTCTTCATTATTTAGGTGAAAAATATTCGAAATAGAGATTTAATTTTTGCTGTTGAATTACTTATACTATTATCACTATGATGCCTCTTATCTTTTGCATCAATGGTTCCCAAAGTAGGCAGTGAGTGAACTAGAGGGCAGCTGGAGGTGACCACTTTTCCTTTTTCTTTTTTAAAAGGGGTAAGAAGAAACATTGCATTTAATGGTTTCCAGATGTGAGAATAATGAACTGTATGATAAGGACATAAGAGTGAGTTTCATAGAAAAGTTTTTCTAAGAATATTTCCAAGCCTTTCTCACACAACAGAAAATGGGTTAAAGGCATTGGGTATAACTTTATGGAACCAAGGGAGCAGTGGCTTAAAAAAAGTTTGGGAATCACTGTCTTACATGATATTTAAAATATCAATACACTATAGTAGGCTTTATTGTGCTCAAAATTTAAAATTTTGTTGTGATGATTTTAATTTAATGATCATCATCTGGTTTACAAGCCAGCTTTTTTACCATAATTTAGAACCTCCTGAACTTCATTTTATAATGACCTTAATGACCTATTTTTTCAATTTTAAACAACACATTCCTTTTCCTACCACAAATAATTCTTTTCTACTGTATCAATTGAACTAATGTCTATGTTTGCTCCATGGAGTAGACATTAAATTCTCTTATACACAGTATGTATTCTATGGTTAATCGGAAATTAATTCTAATTACTTTTTCCTGATTGGTAGCTGGACTTTAGGCCATAACATTGTCAACTTTACAACATTTTTTATTACACAGTGTGGAAGCTTTTACCATATAAAATGATTGAATGAACTGTTTTGAACAAGACATCTATCTATAAATAAACTTGAAACTTTAATGCAGAAACAATGGAATTCATGGAAATTCATCTACAATCCCAATACTTATACTTACACCATGTAATTTGCAAAAATATTTTATGCAGAATGTGAAATCTCTAACAATTATTTCCATTGTAAATAAGTTTGTTTTAGATCCTAGGATTTTCTGGGGATTTATCTCTAAATTTTCAAAACTTAATAAGTATCACATTTTTCCTGACAACTTACATTTAGTAATAATATTGCTAATGGCATCTCCAGAGGCGGACTAAGGCTAAAGCGGGCCCTAGGCAACATTGTAATTCCGAGCCTATTTTTAAAATTAAAAAATTAAAAACCTAATTTTTGGGGCCCCAAAAATTACGGGCCCTAGGCACGTGCCTAGGTTGCCTAGGCCTTAGTCCGCCCCTGAT